TGGTGGCCACTGGTCAGCTTCACATCTAGACTCAGTGTTCACCCTAGAGTCCCAGGGCACAGAGTCAGAGACACAGCAGTGAACAAAATGACAAAATTCTCCGCCCTGGGCAGTGGACATTCTAGCAGATGTAAAAATTAGGCAGCTGGGGGAAGGTGCAAGTGAGGACTCGATGCAAAGAGAAAGGGTCCCTGAAGATCCAGCTGCATCTGAATGATTTCAGGACAGGGGCGTTATGGGCCAAAAGTGCTCTCGGGGACCCTCTGGAAGCAGAAGACGGCTCAGAGGAAAGGGGATGTCGTAGGGCAACAGGGTTGGTATTGCAAACCTACAGGGGATGAGAGGCTACTTAATTTTCATTTTCATTTTAGTATAATGTTTTTGTTGTGTAAAACATGTTAAAGATTTCAAAAATCTTTCAAATACATATAATTTAGTTAGGGGTTCCTTATTAGCTCTCAGTTGTCATCTGTCCATAGATGCACCTCTGCCTGGGTGTCAACCCACTGTACGTCCATGGGGGGAGGGGGTCATCTACCACCATGTTGTTTTTCTTTTTCTTTCTTTCTTTTTTAAATGGAGGCACTGGGGATTGAACCCAGGACCTCGCGCATGCTAAGCACCCAGTCTACCACTGAGCTATACACGCCTTATCTTGTTTTTCTCCAGCCCTTTGCTCTCATCTCCATCCCAGGCCCACACTCAGCCTCTGCCGGGGGGTTTCTGCTGAGTTAGGGAAGTGGGCCACCCCAGCAGCTCAGAGGGATAGTTTTAGGTCTAATGTGGCCAGCATCCTGGTGGGAATCACCAGAATCCCACAGGTGAGGTGCTGTGCGATCTCACTGTTTACCACCCAGGCTTAACGGGGGGGTAGGGATGAGAAGAAGGAGGAAGAGGCTGTGTTGGTAAAAGATATCACTTTTGCAAGAGGAAAAGTGCTGTAAAAAGAAGCCCCATTTCCTGAAGAACCAGACCCAGAGCCCTGGAGGCCAAGACACCCCTGTGTTTGTCCTGACTCCCCACACAAAGCCCCGCTTCTGAGGCCTCAGGGACTGTGCTTGGCTAAAACCCCCAAACCCCGACCCAGGCCCCACAGGTAACTGCCCTGAAGGGGCCTCTGAGCACCTCCCAACTAGGAACGTCCCCCCAGCAAGCAGCACCCAGCCCGAAGCCCAGCCAGGGAGGAGAGAGCGGCGGTAACTCAGTGATGAAGTGCATGCCCTTCTCTTTGAGGGAACCAGATCTGGCCCGGTGCTCAGAGCCTCTCCTTATCAGCTGTGTGACCTTCCGACTCGCCTGCCTAAACCTCAGGTCCCTGAGCGTCAAACAGGGACAGTGACAGCACTTTGTTAAAAGTCAAGTGGATTAACAAGAAAATATATATAAAGTGCCTGCCGCTTAGAGGGTGCCCAGTAAGTGGTAGGAGGGAGGAGACAAACTAGCTCCCCTTGAACCTCCCCGGGGAGGGCCTTGAAGAACTCAGCCAGCTGGGCTTCCACCCACATCGTCCTGCCTGCCTCCAGCCACCAAGCTCCATCCTGGGCTCCACCCCTGCATCCCCTCGACGGCAACTTGTGTCTGAGAACTCTTGTTGTGGACTAGTGCTGATGTATTTTGGGGAGAGGGCTAAAACTGAGGTGTGTGAGCAAGAAAGCTTGTTACTTTGACAGTGGCCTTGTGGGTCCCCAGCAGAGGAGGTGACGGGGCCCGAGGAGGGGAGAGCACAGGGTCAGCAGCCAGCCCCTCCATGCACACCATACACCCAGCCTCTCTCCTCCCACGTGGGCAGGCCCTGGTCTTGAAGGCCGAGCTCTGGGGCACCTGTCCCTTAGCAGTGCTCCAGGAGTCCAGCAAGGACGAAAAGCCAACAGCCACACGGGATGCCCGTGGCTAGAGAGCCTGGCCCCACAGCCTCCAGCCCAGATGCCCCAGCACAGTGGGCTGTGCTACCCCGGCCAGCCTCATTCAAGTAAAGGGCAGGGGACCATTTTACTGCCTTACTTTCAACCAGGCCCTGCCCTATCCAACCCTCCCCTTGCTCCAAGAGCTCCGTCAGGGGGCCTTTGCTTTGTCTCATAGCCTGCCTAAGGGGTTAGGAGGAGCTGAGGAGCTGAGGAGCTGACGGGTCTTCGGTAGATCCACTTGGTTGGAGGATGAGCTCAGGGACGCAGACAGGTCTCAGCAAAGTGCCAGCGCGTCATGCCGGAAGTGCTCACAGCGCTACAGTGAGGCCCAGAGCGCTTCTTGGCAGCCCCTCTCCACTCTACACCCACCTCCAGCCCTGCTGCCCAACCCTGGAGGGCCCTGCACAGAGACAGAGGGGCTGGCAGAGACCTGGACTCCTGCTCCACTTCTCACTGACTTTGAAGCATCTACCTTGTTTAATCTGGCACAAAGGTGATTTTAAGAGACAAAGAGTGTAACTATTCAGTACTGTAATTCAAGGTTGCAAATGGGCCTGGCCAGGCTCCAACAGTGGGTGGGGTAGTACAGGACACTGGAGCTGGGCTGCATGTATGCTCATGCATTTTTCTTGAAACAGTGGCCCTCCCGGGCTATGCTTCGGTTTTCCACTCAGGAAAGGAACATGGGCACAGAGAACTGGTCACCAGC